GTTGCTGTAGATTGTTCCATATTGCACTGTGCTGTGTTCAGTTGCGTTGTATTGCGTTGCTGTAGCTTGTTTTATATTGCACTGTGCTGTGTTCAGTTGCGTTGCATTGCGTTGCTGTAGATTGTTCCATATTGCACTGTGCTGTGTTCTATTGCGTTGTATTATGTTGCTGTAGATTGTTCCATATTGCACTGTGCTGTGTTCTATTGCGTTGTATTGCGTTGCTGTAGATTGTTCCATATTGCACTGTGCTGTGTTCTATTGCGTTGTATTGCGTTGCTGTAGATTGTTCCATATTGCACTGTGCTGTGTTCAGTTGCGTTGTATTGCGTTGCTGTAGATTGTTCCATATTGCACTGTGCTGTGTTCAGTTGCGTTGTATTGCGTTGCTGTAGATTGTTCCATATTGCACTGTGCTGTGTCCTATTGCGTTGTAAAGTGTTGCAGCGCGTTGTAGTGTTTTGCGTTGCTCAAGATTGTTTATATTGCATTGTGTTGTGTTCAATTGCGTTGTATTGCGTTGCTCTAGGTTGTTCCATTTTGTACTGTGCTATGTTCTATTGTGTTGCATTGTGTTGCAGCGCGTTGTAATTGCATTGCATCTATACATATTATTCCACCGCTAGTTTGCCTCCTTCCAAATTAATGTGTCTTGGCGGATTGTCGAGACTGGTTGATCTCTGGCGTTGACGTTTTATATACTACTCAAAGAGGTTACAGAAAACCCAAGCTGCAAAACAATACATATTTTACTTAAGACTATAAGCCTAAATATTAAAAGATAAAAAACATCCCGTAACAATGTCATTTTTGTGGCAGACAATTTCTTTTATTTAGTGCGACAATTTACGTTTTTCGATAGCATCCCCTTCCCCCCTCCCCCTGTTTTACATCTTAAAATGTCTCAGCGACTTGTGGGGTGAGATAGCTAAAAGTTGGGTTGGATGGGTCCTGTAGGGGCGTCTGTTTACCTGTCAACATATATGTCTATAATGAACGTAACGGAAATTCGCTCAGATTCTCGTTCAGATGACCTGTTTAACTCTTCGACAGACAATGAATCTCGGTTCTTGTGACCGCCATCTAGGGGCCAGTATTCAAGTCAGGGACCTTGGCGACGCTCCACACTCCTCACCTGGGGCCGCCCTATTGTATACTTATAGTAATTGCTCAATTAAACATCTAAACTCGCGAGGGGTTCTCACACAGCCGGTTACATTGCCACTGCCACAGGTAACGACAAAGGCACAAGCGACGTGATTAACACAAATGTCAGGAGGCTAACGAGGTCAGAGCCTCAGGAGGGGGCTAACGCGGGGATAATTAGTCATGTGTTCATCAGACCACAAAAGGTTAATGACAGACGTTCCTGACGTCCCCGTTACGCGGTGCCTGGCTAATATAGTCCTTGTGGTAATCATTGCATGGTTACTACCACCAGTGTTTCTTGTGATGGCAGCGTCATCATCAATGTTGCAGCTGCTCCAACCAGTGTTGCAACTGACTCTGACTTTCGCGAGGTTTCTACTTCAACTACACTGAATATGATTGCAACCACAATCGTTTCTGTTGCTTTTTTCTTAGTCCTGCACCATGACCGTGGAATATATTTATTTTATGAAGGCGGCACGGGTGGCCCAGTCGTCTAAGGCGCCGCGATTCGCTGTGCAGAGTTGCGTCCCTTGGGCACGCCAGAAACCTATGATTGTGGGTTCGAATCCCGGTTCGCCCCGATTATGTTTCTAGGTTTGTCAGCACCATACCCGTGCTCGTGGGTTTCACCTAAGTGGTAAACGTCTGAGACCTGCATCACTTCGGGCTTTCCTCCCACATTAAGCTGACACGCCGTGATATAACTGGAATAATGTTAAAAGCGGCGTTAAACCCAACTCACTCACTCACTCTCTATTTTATGAAGAAAAAAAATCTATTAACGCATACAAAAGCAAGTCTAGCCAGCTCAAGCTAGCCCTATTCCACAATTGGGATTTTTTTTTTTAGAGTCAAGAAGGATATTGTGTAATTATATATAAGATTTCAGAGACTAAATGTTAGTCTACTGCTTTGTCTTAAGATCTATTCAACAATGTAGAACAGCTGTTCGGGTTTGTACAACGATATCCATTGCCGCTGTTACTGTGTCCACCTCAGCACAAAATAACCGAGATAACCCTTTCCATGATCATATGAAATCTTTGCTGAAAGCATATTCCATAATACGACTCCGATTTTATCTTTAGCATGTGTTTCTTAATCGCGCACCGATTATTCCGTTTGTATCAAAGAATAATTATTAATAAAAACGTCAAAAATTCCTTTCCTTCATAATGCACATCTTCTGTAAATCTATTAACAATTCAGACTATATCATGAACATGTGTTTATGAATCACTATCAAATAGTGTTGATACAAGGTGTTTGCGAAAAAGTGAGAGTATCCTCCCCCCCCCCCCCCCCCCCCCCCCCCCCGTCGCAACCGTCACAAATACAGGCAAAGGCTAGTCAAGCGTTTACCTGGACAGACGAAAACATGGTACAAGTCAAACGAGAATTGGATTATACATTTCCTTCCCTGTTTTGTCAAATTTGGAAATATCCTTCACATGTCTACCATAAAACTGTCTGAAAGCTTTAACAAGGACTTGAATGTTGTAACATCTGATCTAACAACTTTTGAACAAGAGTTGCACGACGCTCTTTGTTATCTTTATAGCAAGGGCATGCTTGGCTGTACTTCGAAAGAGCTTCTGGAAAGTTGACCATTGGAAAGATGAAGTCAGCCCTCTTGCGATACAGACGACATGCATTGCTGCTGCTAATGTGATTATCATGACAACGACAATCATTGTTACTGTTAATCCGTCTACCCCCACAACGACAATCACTGCTCCTGCTGCTCATGCGTCCACCTCATCTACGACAATCACTGCTGCTGTTAATCCGTCTACCTCTACTACGGCAAGCACTGCTGCTGCCGCTGCTAATGCGTCTACCTCCACTACGACCATCACTGCCACTGCTAATGCGTCTACCTCTACCATGACAATCACTGCTGCTGTTAATGAGTCTACCTCCACTACGACAACCACTGCTGCTGTTAATGCGTCTACGTCCACTACAACAACCACTGCCGCTGTTAATGCGTCTACCTCCACTACGACAACCACTGCCGCTGTTAATGTGTCTACCTCCACTACGACAACCACTGCCGCTGTTAATGCGTCTACCTCCACTACGACAACCACTGCCGCTGTTAATGCGTCCACCTCCCAGTGCGACAATCACTGCGGCTGTTAATGCGTCTACCTCCACAAAGACAATCACTGCCGCTGTTAATGTGTCTACCTCCACAACGACAATCACTGCCGCTGTTAATGCGTCTACCTCCACAAAGACAACCACTGCTGCTGTGAATGCGTCTACCTCCACTACGACAATCACTGCCGGTGTTAATACGTCTACCTCCACTACGACAATCACTGCCGCTGTTTATGCGTGTACCTCCACTACGACAACCACTGCTGCTGTTAATGTGTCTATCTCCACTACGACAACCACTGCTGCTGTTAATGCGTCTACCTCCCAGTGCGACAATCACTGCCGCTGTGAATGCGTCTACCTCCACTACGACAGTCACTGCCGCTGTTAATGCGTCTACCTCCACTACGACAATCACTGCCGCTGTTAATGCATCTACCTCCACAACGACAATCACTGACGCTGTTAATGTGTCTACCTCCACTACGACAACCACTGCTGCTGTTAATGCGTCTACCTCCACTACAACAATCACTGCCGGTGTTAAAACGTCTACCTCCACTACGACAATCACTGCCGCTGTTAATGCGTCTACCTCCACTACGATAACCACTGCTGCTGTTAATGTGTCTACCTCCACTACGACAACCACTGACGCTGTTAATGTGTCTACCTCCACTACGACAACCACTGCCGCTGTTAATGCGTCTACCTCAACTACGACGATCCCTGCCGCTGTTAATGCGTCTACCTCCACTACGACAATCACTGCGGCTGTTAATGCGTCTAGCTCCACTACGACAATCAGTGCCGGTGTTAATACGTCTACCGCCACTACGACAATCACTGCCGCTGTTAATGCGTGTACCTCCACTACGACAACCACTGCCGCTGTTAATGTGTCTACCTCCACTACGACAACCACTGCTGCTGTTAATGCGTCTACCTCCACTACGACAATCACTGCCGCTGTGAATGTGTCTACTTCCACTACGACAACCACTGCTGCTGTTAATGCGTCTACATCCACTACCACAATCACTGCCGCTGTTAATGTGTCTACTTCTACTACGACAACCACTGCTGCTGTTAATGCGTCTACCTCCACTACGACAATCACTGCCGCTGTTAATGCGTCTACCTCCACTACCACAATCACTGCGCTGTTAATGCGTCTACCTCCACTACCACAATCACTGCCGCTGTTAATGCGTCTACCTCCACTACGACAACCACTGCTCCATGCTACAGCGTCTACCTCCACTACCACAATCACTGCCACTGTTAATGCGTCTACCTCCACTATGACATCACTGCACCTGCTGTTGATGTGTCTACCTCCACTACGACAATCACTGCCGCTGTTTATGGGTCTACCTCCACTACGACAATCACTATCGCTGTTAATGCGTCTACCTCCACTACGACAACCACTGCTGCTGTTAATGAGTCTACCTCCACTACGACAATCACTGTCGCCGTTAATGCGTCTTCCTCCACAACGACAATCATTGCCGCTGTTAATGCGTCTACCTCCACAAAGACAACCACTGCTGCTGTTAATGCGTCTACCTCCACAACGACAATCACTGCCGGTGTTAATACGTCTACCTCCACTACGGCAATCACTGCCGCTGTTAATGCGTGTACCTTCACTACGACAACCACTGCCGCTGTTAATGCGTCTACCTCCACTACGACAACAACTGCTGCTGTTAATGCGTCTACCTCCACTACGACAGTCACTGCCGCTGTGAATGCGTCTGACTCAACTACGACAATCACTGCCGGTGTTAATACGTCTACCTCCACTACGACAATCACTGCCGCTGTTAATGCGTCTACCTCCACTACAACAACCACTGCCGCTGTTAATGTGTCTACCTCCACTACGACAACCACTGCTGCTGTTAATGCGTCTACCTCAACTTCGACAATCACTGCCGGTGTTAATACGTCTACCTCCACTACGACAATCACTGCCGCTGTTAATGCGTCTACCTCCACTACGACAACAACTGCCGCTGTTAATGTGTCTACCTCCACTACGACAACCACCGCTGCTGTTAATGCGTCTACCTCCACTACGAAAATCACTGCCGCTGTTAATGCGGCTACCTCCACTACGACAACCACTGCCGCTGTGAATGTGTCTACTTCAACTACGACAACCACTGCTGTTGTTATTGCGTCTACCTCCACTACGACAATCACTGCCGCTGTTAATGCGTCTACCTCCACTACGACAATCACTGCCGCTGTGAATGCGTCTACCTCCACTACGACCATAACTGCACCTGTTAATACGTCTACCTCCACTACGACAATCACTGCCGCTGTTAATGAGTCTACCTCCACTACGACAATCACTGCTGATGTTAATGCGTGTGCCTCCACCACGACAACCACTGCCGCTGTTAATACGTCTACCTCCACTACGACAACCACTACTGCTGTTAATGCGTCTACCTCCACTACGACAACCACTGCTGCTGTTAATGCGTCTTCCTCTACTACGACAACCACTGCCGCTGTTAATGCGTCTACCTCAACTACGACAACCACTGCCGCTGTTAATGCGTCTACCTCCACTACGACAACCACTGCCGCTGTTAACGTGTCTACCTCCACTACGACATCCACTGCTGCTGTTAACGCGTCTACCTCCACTACGACAATCACTGCCGCTGTTGATGCGTCTACCTCCACTACGACAATCACTGCCACTGTTAATGCGTCTACCTCCACTACCACAATCACTGCACCTGCTGTTGATGTGTCTACCTCCACTACGACAATTACTGCCGCTGTTAATGCGTCTACCTCCACTACGACCATCACTGCACCTGCTGTTGATGTGTCTACCTCCACTACGACAATCACTGCAGCTGTTAATGCGTCTACCTCCACTACGACAATCACTGCTGCTGTTGATGCGTCTATCTCCCCTACGACAAACACAGACGCTGTTAATGCGTCTTCCTCCACTACGACCATCACTGCACCTGCTGTTGATGTGTCTACCTCCACTACGACAACCACTGCCGCTGTTAACGTGTCTACCTCCACTACGACATCCACTGCAGCTGTTAATGCGTCTACCTCCACTACGACTATCACTGCCACTGTTAATGCGTCTACCTCCACTACGACAATCACTGCTGCTGTTAATGCGTCTACCTCCCCTACGACAAACACAGACGCTGTTAATGCGGCTACCTTCACTTCGACAATCACTGCACCTGCTGTTGATGTGTCTACCTCCACTACGACAATCACTGCCGCTGTTAATGCGTCTACCTCCACTACGACAATCACTGCCGCTGTTAATGCGTCTACCTCCCCTACGACAAACACAGACGCTGTTAATGCGTCTACCTCCCCTACGACAAACACAGACGCTGTTAATGCGTCTACCTCCACTACGACAATCACTGCCGCTGTTAATGCGTCTACCTCCACTACGACAATCACTGCTCCATGCTTCAGCATCTACCTCTACTACGACAATCACTGGTCCTTCTTATGCGACTACCCCTACGACGACAACCACTGCCGCTATTAATGCGCTTCCTCTTCTCCGACAATCACTGCCGCTCTTAATGCATATGTCTCAACTACGACAATCAGTGTCTATGCGCATACTAGAATAAAACAGAAGAAAAGCTTGTTCTAAAAAGACACCTCGCCTCAACAGTGTTGCCGAACGCACCTCTAAACGGGCAAGCACGCCTCACAGTGATGTAATGAAATACTAGTAGTCATTGATACAGTAAGATCAAATTAGCCAGGAAACCTCGCCTTATCAATGATGCGGTGTGATGTATTTGTACAGAAAAACCTCTTCTGTGATGCAGTGATCCCCTGTTCCGAGGACATCTTGCCTCACAGTGATGCAATGTGCTCCTTTACCTAACAGAGAGTGTCCCCGCCTTTTTCTAAGAAATACTACACACCTATTGCTGCAATGTGCGCATGTATAATCAATATGATTTTAGGCTGATTGGTCTTTGGCGATCTCACACCCTATGTCGAAGGACTAGTAGTATTAGTGACCTTTGTCCACGACTGGTCACTTGAACCCCCATCGACAAGACACTGACGTCAACGCATGGCCTAACTTAGAGTGACCTTCTAACATGTTCGGAAACCTTTTCGATTTTTCCGTACTCATGATCAACTGTTTCACGTTTCCAAAAAAGCGCAAAACAATACGGCCCATTGATTAGTTCATTAAAACATCAGACATTCTTATCTTTGAAATCAACAAAAGAAATTAATGGATTAGTGTCAATATCAATTGCAAATCTTCCGACACAAAGCATTTATAGATAAAATGCATGGTAAATTCAAGGGCACAAACATCCAATTCTTTGTAGCATATAAAATTCAAGTTAAACTAATTAGAAAGAAAGGAAAATAAGCTACACCCTTCACTTATATCGTCGAAAACGAGAGCCATTATATTTCAGTATCGTGTATCACATTAAATTCAAGTATAAATCAATCAGAAGAAAGTCAAATAAACTGCAACCATCACTTATATCGACAAAAACGAGAAACATAAAAAAGTCGAAATTACATCTCATACCACTCGGCTACACAAAGGATACTTAAGATCTTTCAAACCACCATCAGCAGCGCTATTAATTTATCGAGATGAGAAGCTTTTATATCCGCTATATATCCAAGCTTATATCCGCCATATATCCTAGCGTATATCCCGCATATCCAGGCCTACGCCGTGTCTCTCTCGGTAAAGACCACACACACGAAACATCTATACTCTGTAAGTTAATGACCTTTCAGACTCATTAGAACCTCAGCATGGGCTCGACAACATGTCTAATATTGGAAAAAAATCGATTAGCGCTTAAGTCCATTTACAAAGACAAAGCAAAATGTTTTGAAATACTTGAGAGCCCAAGAGGCTGCAAGTTTATTGCTTTTCTACAGACGTATTACTTTTATGTGAAAGTGTGCAAGAAGGCAATGGTTTTCTACGGTGTAAGTGCTGTAAACGATCATTACTGGTCGCCATTGTGCCACCTGGTCAGCTGGACTATAAAAACATGACCTTGGGGCTTAACAGTAAAATGCATGGGTCAGATTAGTAGTATTTCAGGTTCTCAGAGACCCTAAGAGTCTGAAGAACACGATAAAGCGGTATTTTTATTACGATTTCGTTACATCAGTTACAAAATGCAAGGAGAAAGTTTGTCGCAATCATTCAAATGATTTACATTTCTTAACATGAGTGAATATAACATTAAAATGTCATCGAAATTGCAGGTTGACTCTTGTAGAATTGGGATAATGAGGCAAAATATTCGGCCAGGAGTGATCTGTCAATAAATATACAAAATATTCACAGCTCATGTGTACATTTTACTGTTAACCTGTTATTGTTTAATAACGTGAGTGAATATTTTTAATGAGGCAACAACATATTCGGTCAGGAGTAATCTGTTATTGGAAAAAAAGGAAATATCGACGGAGGCTGTTGTGTAAGTTATACTGTCAACCTGTTATTGTTTTATAGAAATGAATATTTTTTTTACGCCGGAATCAGTAATATGTCAGCTACATGACCACAGCATGTAAACACGGACCAGTCAATCCAGAGATGAGAAACGTTCGTCTTTAGGACACGCTGACACACAATAAGCCAGGTCACACATTTTAAAACATTCAATCCTCTGTTGGGTCTTACAAGCATAGTATGTTAGAGGCTTACTCTGCTCCAGAATTGTCAGATCCACACCTGATTATGTCCAGAGCGCCGTCATAGAGTTGGAATAATGCTGAGTACAGCGTCAAACAAGCAAATTGAAAAAACCGACTTGACCTACAAAGTTACGAATTATCAATTATCAAAACGTTACTAGGCTTAAAACAGTCGCCGAAACACTGATTAACGTCCAAAATACAACTATGATACTAATAACAATTACATCACCATCGAATTACCGTTGTTTGTTTGTTTTATTTTAGCCACCATCAAACATGGGTGTATCCTTTCTTTTTCCTACTGTTAATATTTCATATGAAATACATGTAGTTTATGTCATGTGATTATTTTCCTTACGAAATAGTTTCATATATCAAAGTGTTTTAATATCCCCTTCTGTGTGTACGAACTAGCTTCAACTCATATTTAAGTTTCCGATTGCGATTCCTGTTGTATTTGGTTCAGATGAAACAAGTTTGTAAGTATATTCGTTTGATATGTGATGTTTTCTCATGTCGGTGAATTTCTTAATATCTATCACTCTATTTGAATTACCGACGTCCCTGCATCTCACACTGGCACATAGTGTCACAGCTTCATGAAATGTCGAATGTTTTGTTTGTATTCTTGGAGCCGAATAGCTCTCATAATATTTGCACATTGTGATTTACTAGAATTGACTTAGATTTGCTGCTAAATTGTCAGTTTTATTAGAAACGTCAACAGCTAGTTTCCTTCAATAATCAAATTCTGTTATCCGAAGCGCCATGATTGCAGACAATGCAATCAGTACCGTGTCTTCAGTGATTGAATGAGTGAGTGAGTGAGTGAGTGAGTGAGTGAGTGAGTAGTTCGTGAGTACCATGTGGGGAATCGATACTAGGATACCCCTCCCGCCTTGCTAAGACTCGATCACAAAAGGGGATTAGTTGGTTACAGTTTCTGACCTCGTTGCTTGTGTGTCACTGTGATATGTAAATCGTTGTCATGCTATCGACCCCTGGTTTGTATGTTCCATTCTAGTATATTTACAGGCCGCGAATCAATTGACTAACTAACTCGACGCACAAAGAAACAGGAATTAAGAATCCAGTGGTTTAAACAGGGAAACTGTATTGACAACCATATCAGACTTGGTCTTCAGCGACCCTGCTTGTCGTAGCGGCGACAAACGGGATCGGGTTGTCAGGCTCGCTGATGCATGTCATCGTATCCCAATTGCTAAGATAGATGCTCATGATGTCAGTCACTGGATTGCCTGGTCCAGACTCAATTATGTACAGGCCGCCGTCATATACCTGGAATATTGCTGAGTTAGGCGTTAAACAACAAACAAACACAAAGTATGCCTTGTCTAATCATCGCCATACAAGAAGAAGAGTGAATTGGTTTTAACGCCGTTCAGTTTTATCACGGCCTGTCAGCTTAATGTAATGCAATTCTTTGACTTTTACATAGGCGCCTGACACGAACAAGGGAGGCCACTCTGCGACACATCAAACAAGAAAAAGAAAATAATTATCCACTTTGCTGCTTCATCAGCGTCATACCCAACAGCAAAGTACCACCAACATCAGATACAACATCACTGATGAGATCATCAAAGCAACGTCACCAGTAGTGGATACAACGTCATCAGCGTCACGGACAACAACGCAACATCAGTGACAACGTACGCGTCACAACGTCAGAGATAACAGCACAACGTCATCAGCGTTAGACAACAGCACGTCGTTATTGGAGACACCACAGCGTCAGACAACATCACAGCGGCATCAGGATTTACGACGACAGTATCAGCGGCAAAGGCAGTTACACTCACCCACCTCGGCGCGAACCGTTATCATGATTTAACCAAGATAAACAGACCGGGCGATAACGGTGCGAGTGTTGGTCTCCCTTGGCGACGAGAGTCCCTGCTCGAGCTGAAGGGGAAGTATAGATACGTTGTATACACACTATTGTTAGCGCAGTGAGATAAGAGCCTTGTCCACTTGTTGACCGGCATGTTATCATGACGTCATCATAACTAACAGTTGGTGCAATGCTGTAACAGTAATGAGTGAGTGAGTGAGTGAGTCGGGTTTAACGCCGCTTTTAACAGTATTCCAGTTTTTTACGGCGTGTCAGCTTAATGTGGGAGGAAAGCCCGAAGTGATGCAGGTCTCATATGTCTACCACTTCGGTGAAACCCACGAGCACGTGTATGGTGCTGACAAACCTAGAAACATAATCGGGGCGAACCGGGATTCGTACCCACAATCATAGGTTTCTGGCGTGCCCAAGGGAGGCAAATCTGCACAGCGAATCGCGGCGCCTAAGACGACTGGGCCACCCGTGCCCCCTGTAACACTATT